ATCCCAGGCGATGATTGTTGACTAATGTAGCAAGCACCTAGAGAACTTTTTATTTTAAAGCTAAACGCAGTGTGCTATTCACACATCTTAAGGATAAGTAACCCGGGGTCAGGGCCAACTTGGAAGAGCCACGATGAAATTTTGCCTCTTGTCTTCTCTGAAAAGTAAGTGTCCTGGTTGGAACTCAGATTCTGGAATCAGGGATTGTGAAGGGAGTTGTTCCTCCTAACAGAGCTTCACTGTAGACAAGTCATGGGCATCTTTGTCCTAGAGCTCCTTATAGGTAAGTGCCAAAGAAAAGGCTTTGCCCTGCAAAGGGCTTCTCTCAGTTTAACTGGATTCCATACAAATGTTGCTTGAGTGATGGCCAGCATATAGAACACAACACATTAACAGTAATCATTACTTTTACTCTGTGACATTGAAATCACTATGAAATACAACACCATGTGTGGGAAATCCTAGAGAAGCCCTGTGATCAGCTCAGCAGAGACAACACCAAAGCCCACAAGGTCACAAAGATACCACAGCATGCGTGGAAAGTGTAGTGCAATAGTCTTTAAAAGGATTGTGTAGTTTTTAAATGGAGAGCTCCGTCATTTAAAAGTAATTCTCTGTAATCCATACAGAAAGGGAAATAAGACCTGCATCTAAGAATTAAAGGGTTTTCAGAGTGAGTCACATCCATAGTAATTTAATTTTGTCAAGAAAGGGACATGAGTAAACATTGTTCTTAGATTAAAAACCATCAAAGACACGTTTTACATTATGAATAACCTCAAAGAAGATGAGAATAAAATTTAAATCATAAGCAAAGAATTTGAAAATTTTATAAAGGAATTTTTTTATCCCTTTCCCCATTCCTCTTCCCTGTCTTTCTTCTTCTTCTCCTCCTCCTCCTCCTATTTCTCCCTTCAACCTCCTCCTGGAATGGCTAGTCTCAATAAAGTCTGATTTACTGACTTCTTATCCAAATGGTGACATTAGAATTGTCCAATCTCTTTTGGGCAGGTGAGTAGGTTGGGCCCAGAGTGGGACTAATTTGTGTCTTGCCATTCTACTCCCAGCACAAGCATACAATGGAGAAAAATTCAGGTGTCTATTTGTCCTGTACTCTTTAAGTTACAGAACAGGGTGAGGGGGGGGGCTGGCAAAGGATGGGTAATGCAGCTGCAAATCTTGTAAGATAAGGCAGCTTAAATGAAAGGCCAGTAAAGGAATCAACAGGTTTGGTCTGAAAAATTCAGCTTCAGCCATGGGGAAGAGCAGCTGCAGCGTTGATGGGACACTTGAGAGGCTCTGGACAGAAGATCCTTGGCATAGCAGAACTAGCACAAGGAGAGGAGGGATTAGTGAAGCCAAAATTCCATGGCTACCATAAAGACATTTTATCTTAGTTCCAAAAAGGCTCAATATCGTTGCCATTGTGACACTATGGGTCTATGCATAGCTTTAATAGCCATGTTCTTGAAGTGCGGTTCCATGTTGTTCGTGGATAAATAGCGTTTATGACATTATTTCTGTATACAGTACTTACCTGGAAAAGCAAAAGATGTAACCCACCATTCTAAATAGTGACTCCAGAAATCAAGTCCTCTCTTATTTAGTCTCCAAGTATCCATACCACTCTCTGGCTTTCCTAGTGACTTCTGCTGACATCGGTGACAGACAGCAAGGAGAGATGATGGCTTTCTAATGCATTGTTTGAGAGCATGATTGCCAGTGAAGATAAAGCAAATGCATATTTAGCCAAAGGAGTTTGTGCTATGCTATGGTACAAAAAATAGCCTAGCATGAGTTTTTGATTCCTGCTCATATAACATCTGCTGTGTTTCTGAGTAACTTTCTCAGGAAACTGTCTCCAATATGATGATTCAGTAATCCAAGATGCTTCAGTTTTCTGCCCTAGCATTCATTGTTTAATCCTCTACTCTTGCTACAGAAAGGACCCAAGAAGGCAGAATTTCTTAGGAACGTCTATCCTGTCTCTGGCTAGATATACTATCTTCACTTCTGTTCATGGTCAGAATTAGGTAAATGGTTTCACAACATCCCCAAGAGACTAGGAAAATAGTCTTTCATTAGCTCCAAAAGAAAGATGGGGCATTCCTGGTGGCATCAGCAAAGCATAGTCTCCCAAAGTACACAGGATAATCTTAAAATGCAGAGATACCAGTTCCCAGCGTGTATTTGGTTTGGCCTATGTTTGAAAGATCTTAGTAGCACATCAATGCTATGAGGTAAATGTTTTATTTTGTATAAAGTTGTTGGATTTTGATTACCTGTGCTGTAGTAATAAAAATGGTGAATGAGGCACACTTATTTCTAATGTTTAGATAATACCGTTGAAAGGAATTTCTGTAAACCAAATTCAATATGCAAAACTTCAACACATTGAAAGCCTGGGTTATAACATAGGAATCTGTTCTTTGAACAAATAGTCCACAGGATTCACAAGATGCATGGAGACTACCTTACGAAGGACTGCATTAGAGGCTATTTGCTCTTCTTTTACTAAGACTGGGATCCAGTGCTTAACCTGTCTATACCAACCCACTTTGCAGGAAGCTGGAACTTTGAATCCTAACTCTCCGTTCACCATACTTTACTTCTTATTTCCAGGCTGAGATTGCTCTTCACACAATAAGATTAACATTGCCAGGAGGTGGTGTGCACCCCTTTAATCCCAGCACTGAGGAGGCAGAGGCAGGCAGATCTCTGAGTTCCAGGCCAGCCTGGTCTACAAAGCAAGTTCTAGGACAGCCAAGGCAACACAAAGAAACTTCATCTCAGTAAAACAAAACAAAGCCCAGTAAGATTACCACCACTGAGAGATTTAAAATGAGACATTTTATTTGCTAAGAATACTTTATTACCGGCATTGGTTTTCTGTTTTGATCCAGGACATCTTTATATTGTTTAGAGTGACAACCTGCAGCATCTCAGATCAGACACTGAATTGCAGATACTGGTGTTTATCCAAAAGACTCGCAATCCACAGGGATGCTTTACTCACTGTTGATTTTATTTGATTATTTCAATTTCAATTTTTTTCAGGGTATACGGGAATCATCCCAAGTATTGTGACTTTTATGTTCTGGTATGTCTATAATATTCTTGGTTTGTATGTAATTACTGTTTAATAATCCATTGCCCAAGATATCATACTGAAACAAGAATTTGAATGGCAAACCCAGTTCTGAGGATTATCCTTACTTTCTTTCACAACTTGAAGGGTCAATTTCATCTTAAGACCCTTCCAAAGGAGTGTCTAAAAACACATGGAGGAATCTGAGAGCCTCAAAAGTTCTGTATATTTAGCTTAGCAGTCATTTTTATTTCCTTCCTTACTTATTTACTTTGCATTATCTGTTTGTTTCCTCTCACATACACAAGAAAGGCAAATGGCCATATAGATTATTAGAGGGAGCACACAATGCAAACATGATGAATAAAACAGACCACATTTTGTGGTGCGCAAAGGCATTGATTGACAAGATATATGCTTTAAAATTGTCCCAAAGTCATTTTGAGGATGCTTTGTAAATCTGGGGAGAAAATTTAGCATGAAAACAATGTATTCCCCCCATTGAATCTGTGTCTTAATGTAATGGCTATGGTAGTTAGTCTTGCTTTAACCCCATAGCAAACCCAGGACAGACACTGCAGTCTTAGCTAGACATCAATTGAATAAGGGTATTAATTTTAGTAAAAGGCACAGACCTTATATTTACCTTCCCTGACCTTAGATAATGCTGATAAAGTTGTTATCTATGTTCTGGTTACTTCAATTCTAGGATAGAATGAAAGGACCGTGGAATAACAGTACATCACAATTAAGTCTGTAGCTCATCAGCCTGGCTTTTAAAATATGCAAGTGCCTACAGGGACCACCCTGTGTTGAATGTCTCTACATACTTCATGTTGCTTCATTGTTAAATACTGTTTGGAGTTTGTTATCTTTTGTAAACTTTGGGAATCTAATTATTTATAATGTCCAGTGACATTTACATTTTGCTAAATATACTCTGCCTGTATAAAAATACGGGTAAAGAATGGGTGTACTTTTCGCTTACATGCAATATAGGATATTGGAATGATCTAAGTTATCTTTTTCTTATAATCACGTGACTTTTAGCACATAATTCTGAAAACCTGTTCACAGCCATCGCTCTGTAGGATAAAGCATAAGAAAAAGTCGCCATAGCTGCTATCATGTGTTTACCATTTCACTCTCAGCTGTCAGACCAAACATCTATTGCTATCTTGAAATAATACAATTCATTTCCATGTCAGCGGCTCTAGAGTGTTTGGTTTAGTTTTTGAAACTGATAGAAAGTAGATTGAAAGGTTCACCTATTGTGTTAAGCTTATTTACACAAACATGGAGCCATGAAAATAAACCCAGAGTGCACAGCACTGAGTTCTAAGGCGTTTCACATCCTGTGTTCTTTAATTCTTACCCAGACCCACCAGGTAGAGTCTTAATTTTACCAAGGACACCTCACTCAGAAGACCAATCAATACCTTGACATTTAGCTTGTCTTAGATTTGAGGTGAGATTTATTTTTTGCTTTAGGAAAATGAATCTAAGGCAAGTACTTTCTTTCATACTAACACATTTATGAAACAATAAGGGGGGGGACCCACTTTTTTTCCGGGCTCTAGAAAAAAACTCGCCTTTCCTCAAAAAGAGTCAAAAGTAACATTTCTAAGATGGAAGCAATCCGGAAAGCTTCAATTGTGAGCAAGATTCTGTGGAAATTCAGTGAACGAATTAATTTGGCTCCTGGATAGCGGTAGAAGATTTAAAAGGTGGATTTATTCAAAGATCACCCTTGCTGAGTGGGGCTTTAAAAGCCCTTCCCCGGGCCAGGTCCCAGCCTTTCAGATTCCTAAATAATCGGAGTATTATGCAGGTTTTCCTGGCCCCGCCCCGCCAGGGTGAGGACCTGTCTCCCTAGCCCGGCGGGCGCGTCAGAGCCGGGGAGATGCGGCGGGGCACGTGGGCTGGAGACACTTCCTAGAAACGCGCGCGGGCTCAACCCTGCCTGAACTTTCCTGTAAACAGAGCGCTGACAGGCGGCATCCCCGCTGGGTGGGTCCGGCGCTCCTGGCGCAAGTGCCACTTCTTGCTTTTAATTAGCGAGGGGAGAGGCGACTAAGAAGAAGTAGCTGCTCGGCAAGTCAGTGCAGGAGGCTGACTTCTGCGAGGCTGGGGGAAGAGCCGGGGGAGGCTGCCGGGCTGCTCCGGCTGTTTTCTCAATGAATAGCTGGCGGGGAGACTGAAGGCAGACACAGCCTCCTCCTCCCTCCGCCGCCGGGCGACGGCGACAGCTCCAGCCGGGACCTGGCTCCCAAGACGCGCTCCTTGGAATGCCCTCCTGTTCCGCGCTCCTGAACCACAGGTCCCGAGGAAGGAGAGGCTTTGCGGATCCAGATATCGCCCGGAAAATGACACTTGGGAATGGTATTTTCTGATGACAGCCCCGTCTGTTTGTGACAAAGCCTGTCGTCCGCAGTTGCCCCTGGGGGGGGGAAGTCCTGAGTAAAACTCAGTCCTGCCTTAAAGTGAGGTTGCAGGGGCCACAGGAGAGCCAGAGCGCACCATGTCACCGGCCGGACGCGTCCTCACCTTGCTGCTCTGGAGTCACCTGCTGGAGCTCTGGACCCCGGGTCACACCGCGGACCCGTCCTACCCCAGGCTACGCCTGTCTCATAAAGGTAGGTTACCTTTCCATATCCTCTTGTTAAGAAAATGCCCAAAATGGAAAGTCACTTAACACTGGTCTATGCCCCTCCAAGACCTCCAAAGTGCACCTGAAACATATTGCAAAAACTCACCCAGGATTGTAGGCACCTCGAGTTAACATACCCTACCTCATCTGGAAAAAAAAGTGTTAAATTAAATAGCATGCCAACTTGAAGGTGTGATTTTTGCCCTAGAAATATCAGATACTATTCTTGAGAAGTTCACTCACCACTGTGCAGAGCTAGAAGGTGGGGCGCAGTTGCTAAGAGCCGGAAAGGCAGAATCCAGCAAGTGAACATTAGGTATTGAAATACCCCCACTTGCCTTTTGGGAGGTATGTGGGACAGGCTTTAAAAAAATATAGATACACTTTTTGTTTTTATTGGGTGTTTTGTTTGTTTTCTTTATAATAAGATTGAGAGGAGGAGAAGAGAGAATTCCTGAAGAAATAGTGATTTCATCCCACTGAAATTAAAATAACTAACAAATAACACAAATTAGCCTTCACACTGAGTTGGTTATTAGAACATTTTAATGTGTAGCAAAATAAAGAAGTTTATTGGCAATCATGGTAAATTGACTTATAATGGTTAAATATTAATATGCACTAGCCATTTCTTTTAAGTGTTCATTCATCTTATTTTTACAGAATGTCTAGCATAATGTTTATTTTATTCTGCGGGTAGGTCTTATACAGCTACTTCATATTCATAAATAAATGATCAAAAGGTAGGTTTTGCATTAGGACCGGTCAAACCCATTCACGAGTCCTCCTGTCTCCAAACAAGCAAGGAACAAAACATGTTTTAAGAGGAAGTGATTTTGTTGACTTAAAAGGAATTTGGAATACATTATTGGTTATGAAGTTTCATTATTACCACCAATTAAGACAGAGAACAGATGCAAAAATGAGCATTACATAAGAGCCATGTTCCCCCCTTCCCCCACTGGAGTAAGCTTTTAAATTATCTTTCACTATGGAAAAAACAAAACCTGTATCTTTAATACTTGGTAGACTATTCAGCAAAAGATAGAACCAGAAGGTCTGAGTTTTGTATGACATAATTGGTCTTTTTGTCTTCTTATTGGACAGGAGTAAATGTAATGGTGACTGTAGAAATTTCTCATTATAATACTTAAAATTGTGGATATCTTCTTTATTTAAATAATGTTCTTGTAACATTTTGCAGTAGGTACCAAAATTTTATTAAATACATAAACAAACAACATTTGTCACCTATTTAAAATGTAGGGTCCTGCATTAACACATGCTCTTTGATTTGAGAGGAGATAAGTATCAAGGTCTCTGTTTATAAGAAGTTATAAGCAAAATTGTCAAAGTGTAAAATCTGATGGGATGTAATAATGGAAAAATTAGGATGCCAGAAAATATTGTTGATTCTGTGTCTTATAAATGGTATCTACCTTACAGCTATAATGAATGAGTTGTTTTTCCTAATTTCTTTTGCCAAGCATACTTTGTTGCTATGTATTGAAAATGGATGGATTTAGATACTGCTAAGTGAGGTGAACCAAACTCATGCAGAAAACACTACCTACTCTTCCTGATATGTGGATCCCAGCTTATAATGTGTACTGTGTATATGCAAACAGCAAGCAAGTGTAACTAACTGTAGGTGTAGTATAACATTTAGAAAGCAGACCAAGAAGGGTAATGATAGGTAATGAGGAAGGATGGAATGCAGGCAAAAGGACACATGAGTCATGGAAAGGATACAAAGCTAGTTTTTTTTTCCCCCTTTTAGTTTCAACTTTGTCACAATTTTTCTTTTTCTTTCTTTGTGGTGGATAACTAATAAAACTGTAGAGAAAAAAAGGAAGATGAGTGGATAGGCTGTTAGTTTTGACATGGTGCTAACCTTTATACTTCAGGCATACTTGGCTTTTGATAGCTCATTATCAGTATGTTTTCCAAACTGCCTCATTTGATTTTTTTGCACAGGCGAGCTTATAATTTGGTCAGTGTACCAAAATTACATGGTATAACTGCTCTCATTTTAATATATATATTTTTAGCAAGTTTGTCTTCAAGATGTCCCTGTTAATCAGAGAAATAACTGTAACTGATTTTATGAGCTATGTCATATGTTGTCAAAAGGATCTGCAAGTATTTGTTTATACTAGACTGAAAACTCTCACAAGATCTCTCTTTGGCATTTCTTCACCTTTTATTGGGACTGATGAAAAAGACACTTTTATGATGATAATTTTATACAAAGACAGTGTAGAGATGTCTGCAAATAAAATGTTCTCACTTAGGCAATTTAGTTAGGAAAGTCAGCTATGAGATCACACCAGAGACACAACCTGAGGCAGCAAATGCTTGCTGTATGTATCACAGGTTCCTCGGTGACAGGGAGAGCAAAGACTCTCAGAGCAAGGACATCCAGTTCAGCCAGCACAAAACGAACCATTCTCCACTCTGTAGAATTCAGTAGACATTTAAAGAGTCTTCAAATATTAGGAACCGTGCATTGCAGGCTAATAATCTCCTGAAGTACCGAATGGTGACAGTAATGTTGGTTTTTCAGTAGCAAGAGAATTTAAGTAATTAATATTACCAATGAATGCTCAGTCTTTCAAAGTAAGATATATGAGTGTATGTGCTCTATGCTGCTGTCTGACCCCACTGGGTAGCGTAACACACTTCGCTCCCTAGGGGTGCCCTGTTGTACTCATCCATCATTCTTCTCATGGCAGTGGTCTATGCCACATGGGAGAAGAGCAGTCATTTTTCTTTCACCCTCCACTTCCAAGATCAGAGAAGAAAAAAAAAAAAACCTGAATATTCTTTTGAGAAGAAGGAGGATGTTTAACTGTCATATACAAAACTTTGAGATAATTTATATAAAAATGTGTTCCTAAAATGAAGACCCAGTGACCCTTTGGTTTACCTTCTGTTTTTCTCTACCTCTGGCAATGGCCTGTTCTTGAATAGATCTTTCCAGAAGAAGGCTACTAAGTAGAAGGGAAGTGTGGGGTAGAGAGCACTGTCTAGCTTATTTTCAAGCCTTCTTCACCGGTGATGGGATGGTACTCAGACCTTTCTTCTTCTTACTATTTCAGTATTTAGAAAATGTGTCAATTTGGGGCAAGTAGACTACACGAAGAGACAAGGAAACTCTTATTCAGAAAATACATGTATCTCTTATAGATTTTATACAAATAAGTAAGTTTCATTAACCAATAAAAAGATTTAAAAAAATTAGGTGGCAAGATGCTTCCTCATGCTGGAAGAACTTTGAGTCAAGATTTGAGCTGATGTTGACTACAAAAGGCAAGTTCAAGGGTGGTCATGCATTATGTGCATTCTAGTTGTTTATTCCAGCGAAAGAGGATAATATTGGTGAGATTAATAAGGAATGGACTTTCTGTTCAGTTTTCATAAGTAATCTTTGTGATCCTGAAGAAAAGGCAACTGGAAAGAATGAGGAGGAGGAGTCCTGAGGAACTGAATTCCTCCATGTTGACATCTGTTCCTTCCTTATCTGTCACCATCACACATTAATGAGGTTACTGGGAAGGCAAAAATAGCCTTCTTGATAATGGAGTTGAGAGAAGGAAAAAACAACAACAACAACCAAAAACAAATTGCAATCACAGTAACTGTAGACTTTGTAGTAAGTGTAGTCAACTAAGACTTCAATCAAGAGCAGTCTGGCAGATAGGAGTTCAAAGTTCCCATATGGATGGGCTGTCGCAAAAGACATGGTGGTTGCTTCAGGAGGACAGGGTTCGCCTAGGATGTTTGGGGAAGAGGCAGTCAGTCAAGATAGGCTGGCATTATAAATGGAGATTTTCGCTTTGACATGACACCCCTATTCATAAAACCCTAGCTAGTGTTAATGCTAGGTCTGTATTTACACATTCTAACTCTTTACACCCAGACCCGTCATAGCTCAGAGAGCTCAGGATTTGACGTCAGTAGCCTGCACTCCATGTCCTACTCTTGCTCATAATAATGGCAGTTTGTGCATCAGTGTGAAAAATATTGATCGCCATTGTCCCTTCTTTAAATATTTCACTGAGGGTTAGAGAGGATCCATTGTTACAATACTTGTGACTGTACTTTATAATCTAAAACTATGTATATTGTTAATATTTCTTTAAAACAGCATGTTCTCAAGGTAATAACTCTGGGGAATGGTATGAACTTAAACATGAACAAATGTTAAAACAGTGCTGCCATATAAGGAAGAATTTGGTCTAAAGTAATATAAAAAGATATGGTTGATCTTCACGAACCAGTCATTGTAAATCTCACCTTCATGCCTTTGGCCCTTTGTTATTCCAACTTAGAAGATCATTACTCCGTCTTCATTTTCAAAATTTCATATCTAATATTTGCTCTGATTACTACAGTGAGTTACACCTCACATTGCAAAATTCTTTATATTCATAAAACCAAGGCACTAATATACATTAAGAAAAGGTTTGTGTGACCGCCCTGGAGACTGGTGTTTATGTTCTAGCCAGAGTAAACAAAAAATAAATAAAATAAAACGAGGCCGTAAATTAAGCTGTATTTGGTGAGCCAGCTCAGAGTTTTGCTTTCAGCCAGTACCTAAGTATTATCAGCAGTGATATTAGTCACACACATCTCTGGGTGTTAATAAACAAAAACTGGTCATAAGGCATGATTCATAATCACAGTAGTTAAATAGGACTCAGGAGTAAACATTAACCTACATGCCAGACTGTTAGGGAGTGTTGGGGTGAGAATGAAATGATGGTTTTATTAACCAACAGTTTATGTTAAGACATCAACATGGAACAAAATGTGAAGAATTATGCTGTGTTGAGTTGGGCTAACAACAACAAAAAAGGCTTTCTGTAAGGAAAGTCTATCTAAGGGTGTTACTTGTTGACCTTTTATTTCTGTATTGGTTCAATGCTGCACGTACATCATATCAATATATCTTATATACACTAATCTCTCAATCTATGAATC